TATACCTGGACATATACCAGGACCTATATCTGGACCTATACCTGGACATATACCTGGACCTATATCTGGACCTATACCTGGACCTATACCTGGACCTATACCTGGACCTATACCTGGACCTATACCTGGACATATACCTGGACCTATATCTGGACCTATACCTGGACCTACCATTCTGTGTTCGTCTGTCTCTCCTTCCTGTCCTCTCAACCAGCCGGTCAAAGCAGATGGTCTCTTGTCCTGATCCTGGTTCTGCTGGAGGTTTCTTCCTGTTAAAGGGAGTTTTTTTCTTTCCACTGTCTCCACTGTGCTTGCTCGGGATGGGAGACTGCAACGAAGACAAGATTCAACTTGTCTGCTGGATTCCTTAGATAGAGAACTTTACTAATTGGCTTTTATGTGAATGTTCCTGTAAAGTTCCCTGAGACAACTTTTTTTGTGATTTGGCGCTATATAAATAAACTGAATTCAAAATGCCAGAATCTGATAATGAACGACTGACAGAACGTTCTGTGTTTGTCAGCTTCTTAAATGAGAAGCAAAGTGAACTTTGTTGAAAACGAGGCAGAAAGTCGGATGAAAGTCCAGACTGTTCCACAGAAATCAACTCGTGGGAAACGCGAGGCAGAACTCGCAGAAGCAGACGACGCTTCTTATCTCCTCACTTGTCCATTTATTGAATCTTGAGCCGTGCTCCCGCTCCCATTCTTCCGCCTGTTGCTAAGTTACTGCCACCCCAGTTCAAGAAGTGCTGCGAAGAAGAAGTGACAGAAATAGAGAAATAAGTAGGAAAGCTATAATAGTTAACGGTTCCACCGGCATCAGCCTTCCAGTGTAGGTGGAGGGGGATAATGCACAGGTACGCAGTGAGAAATGAAAACTGCTTCAGTAATGACTGATTTAAATCTAATGGACCCCAAAACCACCTGTGGTGAACACCCCCTCATATGAATGGTATTTTGGGACGAGAGAGGTTCTGCTGGTCCAGAATAAAAAGCTATAAACTGGATCAGACGGTAACCAATTAAGAGTGAACAAGTAGGAGGAAATGGGGGAGGCGGGAGGAGGATGGAAGGGTCTTGACCTGCGTTCTAGATCTATCTGGAGCCTTTTAAGCTTCTCACAGAAAGCTGCTGCCGGGAGATCATTTAGAAACAGCTGCTTTCACATGGAATCACGGTTTGATTGCCATCAACAGTTTACACCTTTCTATTGTGAAGGGTTTAAATGGCAGGAGTGGGGGGGTCAAGAGGGGGAGACTCAAGCTTTCCTTGCACCCCACCATCGCCGAGGTGGGACAATGTGTATTTGTGCTGTGACGCCTTGGAAGCTGATTTTCTCTGCAGCCCCGTGGATCTGAGGCTGACGACGGCAGAGCAGAAGAAAATCAGCTTCTGCAGACGAACTAGCGCTTGATGTGAAAATATTCTGTGACTGCTGAAGGACTGTGCTGACGTTTCATGAAGCTGAACATGAGTTGAAGCTAAAACACAAGATAAAAACAAAAAGTAGCAAAACATCAGCTAAAATAAAAAAAAAAAACAGCTGAAAATGACAGAACACCAAAAAGCTTAAAGTAGATATGAATTTCATTATATACGGTAGTGAAATGTTAGCTAAAAGTAGGTAAAAGGTGGCTAAATATACCAAACGGCTAGCTAAAAGTGAAAAGTAGCCGAACAGTAAAAGTAGCAAAAGACGAGCTAAACACTAAGAGCAGCAGATTGGTATTCTAAAACTAAAACAAAAGTCTGTAGGTGAAAACAAAATGAGCAGAACGATAGCTACAAACAAACAAACAAAAATAAAAATATAGCTAACATCTATAGGTAGTCAAAATGCTAGCTAAAAGTGAAAAGTAGCCGAACAGTAAAAGTAGTAAAAGACGAGCTAAACACATAAGAGCAGCAGATTGGTATTCTAAAACTAAAACAAAAGTCTGTAGGTGAAAACAAAATGAGCAGAACGATAGCTACAAACAAACAAACAAAAATAAAAATATAGCTAAAATCTATAGGTAGTCAAAATGCTAGCTAAAAGTGGGCGAAGGCTAGTTTAAAGGTAAATATGGCGAAATACCAAATAAAAACTGAATGTTGAATAAAAATATCTTCTATTCTTCTCACTCAAAGAAGCCAAACTCGAGGACACGAGAGGATTTTTAACCGGTTTTACGTGCAAGGGCAGATTTTCACAACAGGTGACACGGACGTTCAGAAGTAAACGCATGGATGAAAATCTGCCACGGGCAGCGTGCGAGGCTTGTTTTTATATCTTTATCTGCTCCCGGCTCACAGACAGACTCGTGTCCTTGGACCAGCTGTGCATGCAGGATCAAATCAGCTCCACATTCAGCTCCCTGAACTCTGGTGACTCAAACACATGGTTCATGGGCAGTGAACATCGTAGAAGTTAACCCCCCCCCATGGGTTTGGAAACCAGGAGAATTTCTCTTTAATGGCAAAGTATAAACATTATAAACATTAGGGGCTCCGCCCAGTTCGACCAAAATTCCCTGACACTAAAAGCTAAAAGATACAAGTAGTAACAGTTTGATAAACCTGAAGACAAACTAAAAGCTTAATATTCATAAAATGGCTAAAAGCAGCAGAACACTTAAAGTGGTATATGTTAAAGCTAAAAGGGCAAAAGTCATGCAAGGTAAAAACAAAAGTAGCTGAATGATAGCTGAAAGCTAACACGGAGCGGGTATATGCTGAAGCCGATTAAAAAACTATATTTTAATGGAACTTATTAAATTATTATATATTTCTATAATTTGTAAATAAAGAAAAAGGTGTTGAAAAAAATGTAAAAATGACAAAAAGCCACAGCACCCGTTTCCTGAATGAGCCGAACATTTTGCTATATGAACGGCTAAAATAGCACAAAATCTGCAGAAGAGGTTTGATTACAACAACTGCATGAAAAAAAGTGGAACAAACAATAGAGAACAAAGTAAAAGTGCATTCACACAAGAATCAAACATCTGAAAAGGCGTTAAGATGGAGAAATGAAAAGCATGGGAGATTTTCTATTCTTCTTTTTTTTTTTTTATACATTTTTAAAGATTTCAGAATAAAGAAAAGTCAAATGTAGCTCGAGATAAAAACAAGCAGAACTGGAGAAAGAAACAAAGAAGACAAACAACAGAGTTGTGTCTAAATGTAAATTTACAGGAATAAAAAACAAAAACTTTAATTAGATTTGTGATCGTTGCAATCTTCATCTGAAACGAACAGATTTCCATCAGCCGGGTAAAACGTGTGCGAATCTCTGTGCAGATTAAAGCAGCACGATCATTACCTCCTTAAAATAACTTTGCTGAGTGAGGGGGTTAATGTGAGGCATCGTTCTGCCGGGGAGCAGCTCAACTAATTAACCAACGCGTTCGATTTAGTTTATTACCAGTCCCACGAGGAGCAAAACCTGTAGCATCAAAACATGGCCTTCAACATTTCCCCCATACCTAATTGTTTAGATCCAAGCCTCCTCAACGCTTTCTGGCATTTAATGGCCCCCCCGCCCTCGTCTCCAGCTCATCAGAGGGCACAACGGTGGCCCCGCTTTGATCAGCTGAAGCAGGAACATCTTGGAGGAACGCTTAATTGGGAAGGAGGTATTTCAACAAAAAGGGCGTACCTGTTTTAAATCCCAAGTCTTGTCAGGCACCATTAATAGCAGTGACGTGTGGGGAGAAGCAGTGTGGGGGGAGGAGGGGGGGTCAGACCACATCTCTGTTGCTAAGGTTGTCTCTGCTTAGTTGTGTTGCTATGGCTGCCAGTTTCTCTCTGGGCTGAAACTTTTTTCCCTTTTCTTCGCTTGTGAAAGAAGAAGAAGTTTGGATTCTTGTGTTCATGCAGCTCTGAAATCTCATACCCCCCCTCGTC